GGTGTCTTAACCCCTAGCCCCCACATCACTGTAGGTACAAGGGGGCCAGGCATGGTTATAACCACCTGAGTGCAGGGAGAGTGTAAGACCCAGAAGGGGCCAGGCATGGCTATGGCCACCTGAGCCCTACTGGAGAGGCAAGTCCCATAGCCTCAGTGAGGAGGCAGAGATGAGGAACCTCAGTCAGGGGGAAACCAGAGGGCTGGGAGCCCAGAGTGTGTGTATGTGTAGAGTAGAGAGGTGTGGAGCAGAAGTAGCCCAGGGTTTGGCACAAAGCCGGACTGTGCAGAGTAGGGGAACTTGCGGGAACTGAAGGGACTGTGTGGTGAGGCCAGCATGTGAGTAGTGAACCCTGATGGCCCAGTGGGGTCGCTCAAGGAGAAGCAGGGTGGCGGAGTGTGGCCCAGCAATAAGCAGCATGCCAGAGGCCCTGGTGAGAGAGGGGGAGAGTGGAAGAGGCCTCCTGTGAGAGGGGAGGTGGTATGAGTGTGCATGGAGCCCAACTTTGGACTCAGTTTGCTCCAGTCTCAGGCCAGAAGTAATTATGTCACCTGGATGCCATCTGCAAGGCATGAGCTGTGGTGCAGGGAAGGAACAGAGCTGCAGATAGTGCCCCTTGGTATCGGGACAAGAATGGGCAGCCTCCCGCCTTAATAAGAACCAACTAAGAAACAAGACATGGCAGGCGAGGAGGCAGTTGGTTGGCCCAGAACAGGTGGGCGGGCCAATGACAGATCAGCCCCAAGAGCTCCCTGTTACAACGCAGTGCTCTATTCATGGATTTCGCCATTCGCAGAGATCATGTGAACGTATCCCATGTGAATGGTGAGGGTCACCTGTATGTATTCTTTAAAACCTTGACCATTATTTGACAATATTTGACTGGTCAACTGACCAAGTATTTTTTCTTTTTTTGACCAGTCCAGACACGGAAGTAGCTGTCTCTCACATGCTAGATGGGCACAGCATCAAGTATGCTTCATTTAGTTCAATGTGACTGACAGACAAACAATATATCTCTGATTAGAAATCAGCACAATAACACTGTCTCAGAACCCCAAAGAGAAGGGACATGTTGTTTGATTTGCTAATAAGGCCATGTAGCTAACTCCAAGAATTTAATTATTTTTCCCACTGGCCAATGTAACTATCTGAAAAATCTAAGCCCTGGCTATATGATGAATAGAGATTCCTCAAGATGCATAACACTGAGGCAACAGGCTGACCATAAACACCTCAATTCAAGGGTGCTCAAATGAAAAACTGCCTACTTCACTACTACAAATCCTCCAAGTTATATGCACAGGATTGTGGATGGGCATTCCATGGTTCCTTGTAAAGCTGCCTTGGCCTATGTATTCTAGGATAGTTGTTGTAGCACATGGTGGGGTAAGTACCAGACAGCAGCTAGAAATCTAGCATGGTTCCAGGCAGTCAACCATGGAAACCCCTATAAGTCTTCCTGATAACCTTTTCCAGGAAACAGTAGCATCTTCAAACTTTAGAGACATAAGCAAAGACTAATCATGTCACCATCTGACTATGAGGTTCGTGGGGAATATTTAGCAAATGTTGATGTTACACTTGGCATCCCACTACCAATTATGTATCTCTTTGGAAGTCTTCTGCTGTTATCAATGAACAACTACAAAATACAACATTATAGCAAAAGCAATAGAAACAGTTTTAGTACTAATCCAGGACCTTTGCTGTTACTGTGACAGGGTGCTTGGAGGGTGGCTGGGTTTGAACCAGATAAGCCAAGGACCTGAGCTGGTCAGGCAGTCTAGCCACAGGGAGAGGCACTCCTGGTAGCGGGGCTCTTTCTTGAACATCTGACCTGGTGTAAGCAGCATGAAGCCCAGGAACAGGCCAAGCTTTGGAACAGATAGGCCAGGGGACAGCAGGGCCCAGTGCCTGAGAGGGGCAAGACAGGCCTGGGAACAGAGGGCCGGACAGGGTCCAATGCCCTAGAAGGGTGAAGTAGGCTTTGGAATAGACAGGCCTGGGGGCAGGGGCTGGGGGCCCAGTGCTCAGGAGGAACAGATAGGCCTGGGCATAGAAGCAGTGACCCAGGAGGTCTAGTGATGTACAACTACTGGTGGTTGTGGAAGGGACTGAAGAGGAGGTATGGAGGTCTCAACTGGTTCAGTGAGAGAGAGAGAGAAAAGGGACAGAAGAAGAGAGGATCTGGGGCCCAGAGAGAGAGCCTGAGAGCATTAAGGGGCAGAGTGTGGGGCCAGAGCAGGCCTTGGAAGAGATAAGCCTGGGGCCCATAGAGAAATACAGCTTGAGCCTAAAAAGGACTAGGTAACTGGGAGAAGGTCTGGTGCCTGGGTGGAAGGGATGAGGAGGGTCCAGTGCCCAGGGTGAACTAGGGCACATCTAGAAAAGGTCTGGTGCCTTCGAGGAACCAGAAGGGTCCAGTGCCCAGGGAGGACTAGGGTGTATCAAGGGAAGCTCTAGTGCCTGGGGCCTGTCAGAGGGCAGAAAGTTATGTTAGCAAATTACCTGCAATGCACAGGAGTGGGTACTGGGGAGCATGGAGCCCACAGAATTAGCCCTTAAGGCAATGACCATGAGCATCTGTGATCCTAAGTGTAAAACCAGTCATGGGAAGCCCTGGGCAGCCTCCCTTTCATCTCAAATTAACAACATCAAGGTGCAGTAGGCAAGTAAAGGGGAGAGGGCCCTGAGGGTAGCCAGGTTGGCAGGGGCTAAGTGACCACTGGGGGCATTGCAACCACCTGTGGGATGAGCACTTGTTTCTGTAAACAACTGTAGCACTTTGGTAAGTGATTCTCTATAAGACCAAGGGTGCTGGATCCTTGGTACCAGACTCACTGACCTTTTGTAGATTTGGGAACCTCTGTGTGACTCATGCTTAGCACAGAACCATTCCAAAATGAACTATAACAGCTTTCCTGTACCAGAATCTGTCAACCAGGATAGATCAAAAGCTGAGAACCACTTTGATGATCGTGTTCCAAGGTTAAGGAATACTGGGTTTCTGATGCCGGACTTGACTGACCAGAACAAATCTTAGGGACCATGTAATGACCTATTTCAAGAATACTGGCACTTTGATCAATGGGTTTCCAAAGTCAAAGTCAGTGCCAGACGTGGTTAACTGATCCAAAAGATTTCATTTACCACACGTGTGAAACATCCACCAGCCTTTTTGAGTTCACCAACACAATATTGAAGCTATTTGGCCATTCTCTTCTCGTTTTTTTAACAGTCTAACAAATTAAAAACCAAAATAGCCTTTATAGAGCTGGAAAAAAAAAAAGATACTCCCTGCCAGCTCCCTCACTGTCCCACTCCCAAATGAAATCAGCATTAAGAACCTCAAGTGAGCAGAGCTCACTGCACATTGTCATTTATCAAGGATGAGAGGCAGCTGGGAAACAAACCCTCAATGTATGAATCTAAAGGAAAAAGGGGGAAAAAAGAATGAGTGGCTGCAACTTGAAAAGATTCTTGAAAATTTCAATTTAGGTGGCTTGGTCCCAAAAGTAAAAAGGCTGCTAGAAGAACCATTGGTCACTTTCATAGCTGCTAATAAGTATCACAGTATGACAAACAATATCAACATGGATGCACAACATACAAACTTCTCTCTTAAATTAAACAAAGTAGAATTTTTTTTTCTTTTACATACCCTTTTGGCTGACACTTTGTATACCCATTTTTACTGAGTACAAATTTGAGTATGTGAAAAAAAATTATTACTACTTCAGAAGAGTTAAGTGTGACTACTGTTTAAGTATACTTTAGAACAATTTTCAAAGCTTGTGTTAGATACTGGATTCAAAATCATTTACAATTTTAATGAAAGGGATTATTATTCACCTCTTAGAGATAAAACTAGAAGATGTGACAAATTATCATTTTTCTGTTGCCTTCCTGCTTTCCTTATATCTCTGATAGGATTTGAAAAGCTAAGAAACAAGATACTTTGGCTATGCTGAATGCCAGCCAGGGAGTTTTGTTTATTTTCATTATGTTAACTTTGGGTGTTTATATGCATGTTCCAGCACCTGGGAGGGAGGGGGGGGCACTTTGATTAATGCACTCAGATCGTCTTATGTATCAGTGTCCCTGTGCTGAAAAATGGCAGCTGGGACACTAACTAAAGCTCATAAATTGCCATGCTTCAGCAAACTCCATTAATTGAGTAATTGCAGTATGTTGGAGCAACCTCACTGCACATGTATAGGTGCCCTTTGTTACTAACCAGGTAGTTTTACTCAAACTTGTATAATTCAGAGTGACCAGTTACAAGCTTTATTGTAAGAGTTACACTATGGAGTTTGGAGCTGTATACTTAGGCTATGTATACATAGTTCATTTCTACCAGTAGAAACTTCTCAGCCTGCAGCTGGACCCTCTTCCCCTGCTCTTAGTTCTTTCCCTAGACCAGTGGGTGCTTTGTTCCTTGAGGTACCTGGGGGGAGAGCGGAGTGGTGGGGAAAGACTATCTGTACCTACCCAGACCATGACCTGGAGAATGGGCAGGAAGCATCCTCTTTTCCTCTGCTTTTAGGGTCTGGGAGCAGAGCAGAGGGAGCAGTGAAGCAAAGACCTGAAGCCATTTTGCAAGCTGGACAGTGCTTCTCAAGAAAAAAAAACACACTTGTACACTCCTCTGCCAGAGCAGACACTGGCAGGGGAGCACACAAGTGTTCTTTCCTGTGAAAGAGTTTCTCTCACAAGGAAGGATCTTCCAGGTTGATACCTGGAAGATCATTCTCCTGGAGGGGCCATGTTTCTCCTGGGAGAAACTGTATGAATGCTTGTATGCTTGCAGTGGTGAGTCTCCTAATAAAAACATAACATATATATGACCTTAAATGGATCACTGAAAGGACATGATATTTAGGCTGCTGTAACAGTTACTTTTTCATTAATTGATAATTTATGGCTTTTCCCAAGTAGTGTTCTTGACACTGTACTTTGAGCTGCATAGATCATTTTGGCAGTGAAGATTAAGTTACCTGAGTATAATGACCACATTGGGCAGTACATTTGCGAGTCTCATAAGTATAATCCCTGTATTCGTCATACCAAAGCTGAACGGCTGCTTTTACACTGAATGCCCGGTGATTTCCAGTAAAAATATTTTCGCCGAGCGGTCTGAAAGATGGATGTGTATCTTTGGTTTGTAAATATAGATTATGCTTAAAAAGGCACTTCCTTGACCATGCCTTTGCATTCCTTGCCAAGGCTGCATCCCAAGTCTGCAAAATAATAAAGTTAAAATAACTGTGCAATGTTCTAGTAGCATTTTAGCAATCAACTAAAGTAGAAATCGGCTTAAAATTGTCAGTTCTGTACTACTAAACAACAGAAACATTCATGTTTCTGTCATCTAATTCAGTATCCCAAAGATGTTTTCCCTAAAATTCTGGCATACTTAGCACCATAAGAATATAGACTGACTTTCTTAGATATGATTCTTATTTTTTCTATTGGCCTACTGTTAGATACTAGAAAAATTATATTTCAAGAGCACTGTTAGTGACTACCTACTATTTAAAATCTGTATTTTATCTTTGCATAAGTAGATTGAAATCATTTAACATTAGTTCACACACTTAACTTTATTACATATAGGTATTTCTTCTTTTGCATCAAAGGCTGATTGCTAGCTAAAGCTGATTCAATCAGCTATTAGGTAAGGCACCAGAAAAGCCCCACTAAAGTGCCCAATCTTTACAGCTGTCAGGCGAGCTGGACTGAAGCAATGCATTGCCTCTTCTGAGCATGCATGGGGATCAGCACAGGAATGCACTGACTTTAAAGTAAAGTGCTGTTTTTGGGGTGGGGGGGATGGTTATATCTGCAAGCACCCAAATAGTTAATTCACAATTTTTAGAGTTTACGTACAAATCAAACAAATGTCAAAATGCACAAATACCACAGCTTCAGAACCATATCTTGTTTTTAAATAACTGCTTTCCCTGAAGTAAAAGACTATGAAAACAGGCAATATACATAAAATCCTCCACCAGTAATACTTTAAACGTTTGTGATGCATTTCACCAATCTATGTGAAAGCATTTTACAAAGATGACTTTATAATATAAACAAGATTCTCCCTACATATAAAATGCTAAAGTACAGAAGGAACAAGTGACTTTTTAGAAGTACTAACATGAACCAGTAGTAATTAGGACTACAGCCCAGGTCTTTCTACTCCCAGAACTGTTTCTTCTACTGATTCTTCTTCTTCTTCTACTGATTAAATGTTAAATGTACTTGAAAAATGTTTTCAAAGAAAACACCACAAAAGTTCAAAGTTGTTTTTTTTTTTTAATATGATGTCCCTCTTCTGGCTTTAGGGGAGGCTTGGCCTAAGTCTCTCCTACATGCAGTCATGATTCAGTGGTCAAGGGGCCTCCTGTATCTGTTTCTTCACACTCCTTTAAGCCTAGATATCTACATGGTGATACAGGATTTATAGTACTCATAGTCCCAAAATGGCCAAGAGTTAGGGTCTCCTATTCCAAAAATGCTACTGATAATCCCAGACCTGGTAACGCAAGGAAAAAGCAAGGTTCTCTCTCTGTCTGGATGCTCAATAGTTCTCTCAGGTAAAGTGAGAATGTTTGATACTGGTCAGTGACATTCCCTTCCACAGCAAAAAAGGGCTCTCACCAGATGTACCTACTTGACGAAATGGACCAGGTTTTTGTCCTCATGCCAGGCAAGGAATTTCAGATTATCCACTGGTCTAATGAACAAAAATATTTCCACCAGCTCAGTTGAGGTCCATCTGGCAGCAATTTAAGACTTTTACCCTTCAGGCAAGATATAGCATGCATTCTCTTCTCACCTAACAGCCCTTAGATATCTTAAGGTCTTGTCTTCAGATAAGGGGCCTGATCCTACAGAGGGAGTTGAATCAGTCTCTCATAATCATCTTGAACCTAGTACAATTTACTTTTTCTATACCTCTATGAAAACTGATTTCCTGAAAGCTACTACAACAGCAAGCTAAATGGGTCAGATACAAGCACCTGTGGCAAATTCTCCCTATGCTACCTTCTACCCAGATAAAGTTACCTTAAGACATTATCTTATCTTGAGTTATCTCAAATTCCTGCCCAAATTATAAGATTATGGGACTTGAAAGAATGTCAGGGGTCTTCTTGGCCAAGACCTGCACAATTGCTACTCCTAAATTTTATATAATGTCTCTCCAGCCTCTTCTTGAAAACCTCCAATGAAACAGATTCCCATACCTGGGATGTTTATTACCCAGCCTTGCTGTTCGGCTAGTAAGGAAGTTTTCCTGATATCCAATTAAATTTTATTTTTCTGCAATATAAAGCTATAACTTCATGTCCTGCCCTCTACAGTGAGGAAGAAGAGTTGTTTTCACTCTCCTTTATGGCAACTTTTCAAATATTTAAAAACTGGTATGATGCCCTTTCTTAATCTCCTTTTCTTCTTATATGGTTAACTTTGAAACCTCTTTCAGAATTTTCTTCACCAGCTTCTGGACCTCTCCCATTCCTCCGTATCTTTAAGCTGTAGAACCTAGAACTGTATGTAATACTCTAGGTGAGGGCTAATCTCCTGAGGTCCCTTCCAACCCTAACTTTCTATGATTCTAATGAATTAAAACTTCTAGATCCTTCTCAGCAATACATCTGTCCAGTCAGTTGTCTTCCATTCTGTATTTGTGTTGTATAGGTGGCTTCTGTATAGGTGTTGCACATTATAAATGTCTGCGTTCAACTTCATTCTGTTATCTCTATCCCAGCTCTGCAGTCAAGATGCTCTTGAATTCTACTCCTATCCCCCAAAGTCTTTGCATGTGCCATCTGAACTTTTGATCAGGAAGCTCTTTCTTCCAGCATCCAAAACATTACAAACAAGTTAAATAGGACCCAATCCAGAACAGGCCCCTGTGGAACCCCATTCTAAACCTCCTACTACTCTGACAGATTTGTTATAGTTACCCTTTGATTGTTGTAATTAAGCCAATTATCTAATTATCTTGTAGTAAATTTATCTAGCCCACACTTCCACAGTTTACTTTTCATATGGAGCTTCATCAACAGCCTTACTAAAATCCAAGTATGCTATTATGAATTGCACTCCATTTACTCTACTAGTTGTTTGGTCAAAGCAAGAGATGAAGTTAGTTTAGCATGATTTTTTCTTCATGCTGGATACTCATGATCAGCCTTTCCTCCTCTAGATGTTTACGAATTATTTATAAATCCTGTAGCTTCCCAGGTATTGAAGTCAAGCTGTTTGGATTATGGGTCCTCAGATCTTCCTTTTTACCATTTTTTAAAAAGATGGACACTCTGTTGGCCCTTTTCCAGTCCTCTGGAACCTTGCCTGTCTCCCACAACTTTGGAAATACTATTGCTATGAGATCCCTTCTGTCAGTTTCTTTAGCATCCTGGGATGAAACTCACAAGGCCCTGCTGATTCAAATTAATTGAAAGCTTTCTGATGTTCTCTTGTTATCATGATCCTCAGCCTTTCCCCTTCTTTGTGCATATAATTTTTCTTAGTTGTCTGGTTGCAGCTTTTTTTATTCATGAAGACTGAGGCAGAGCAGCTCTTGAGGAGCTCTACCTTTTTTCATTTTTTATTAAAACCCTAACATCCGCAAAAACTACTTCACCGTTAGGGCGGCTAGGAGCTGGAACCAACTTCCAAGGGAAGTGGTGCTGGCCCCTACCCTGGGGGTCTTTAAGAAGAGGCTGGATGCCCACCTAGCTGGACTCGTTTGAGTCCCATTTCTCTTTTTGGGGTTTTTGTTGTTCTCCCGCCCTGGCGGGGGGTCGGGCTAGAAGATCTACTAGGTCCCTTCCGACCCTTAATCTATGAATCTATGAATCTATGAATCTACCCTAGCTGTTTAGCATAGTTTCCTTGGTCTGTCTTTTCTGACCAATGTATTTCTACAGCACTTTCTTGTTGTCCTTAACTTCGCTCAATAGGTGCAATCATTTTTTCTTTGCTCTCCTGATTTTGTTCCAGCAAGTTCATGCTATTTCTTGGCGTGCTTTCTTACTGACTTGCCATTCTTCCACTGCCTGTATGTTTTCCTTTTGATTGTGAGGCATCAGTGCTCCTTTTATAGCTCATCAGTTACATGCCATTCTTGTATTTCTATTGTGTCAGGTGTGAAGCTTCCAATACAGATTTTAGAAACTGTCAGCTCACCTTCTCTTCCTGACTTAGCAGTCTCTATACAGACCCCCACCTGCTGGTCTTTTCCTTCTTTATCTTCAGCCAGATACACTCAGATTTGCTGCCTTCTTCCTTCTATAGCTGGGATGAGCATATCTCAGAACATCAATATTCCACATACTCAGGGGAAGTCCATCCTTTGAGAAAAGTACTCATAGTGGTCAAATACTGCAAACCCTTTTTCATAACTCCACCAGATCTTTGTCTTCATTATCTTTCCCTCCTTTAAGGGAACCACAAGGATTTACTTAGGATCTTTCAAATCTCCACTTCTTCAAATATCTACCTTACCTGACTGTAGACATCCTTGATACATTCCGGTGAGAATCTTGCTGTCTTCTGTCCTGATTGACAGATACTTTCTTGTTCCTATGAAGATCCTTTTAAGGATCTGATATCCCTGATCCTGGCAGATGGTATGCTTTTTTTCCCTGAATCTACTCTGATGGTATGCAATTGATTTCTTAAAAAGGAGTATCCAGTCATATAGACCTTCCTCTTAGGTATATCATTGTGAATCTTTAGTCCTTTCCCTTCTATTTTTAATTCTGCCTACAACAAAAGGTTGGACTCTTTATTTGCAGATTATTGTTTTTAGTTATAGAGTTCACAGATACAAGAGATGCTGGATATAGCCAATGTGTAGATTGCTGGATCACAGGGGTAACATGGATTCCCCTCTCTTAAGATCTCTTATCAGGTTTTCCTTTCCCTGGAAACGGATATTTTAATGACCAAAGGTAATTACAGAGCAAGTATTCATCATAGCAACAGATTAGTGCAATGTGCAGACTTGATCCTGAGGAGAAAATGAGCATCTGTATCTCCTGCCACAAATAATCAATGAAAAATCACAGGTTCCTAGCCCTGTCTATACTTAACCCCACCAGCCTGAGGGAATCAGTTACAACATTGTGACCCTCAACATGCTACAGTACAGACAGAATCGGACATTATTTGTGAAATGTGCTTCAGGAGGTGAAAAGGTTAAAACCTCCCATACAAAGCTGACAGCTGCTCTGTCATTAATGACAGGCAAATTGGCTCCACATTGGGTTGGATGCACGTTAGATGCTTCATCTCTAATTTGAGGGATTGTTTCTGTAACTGGTGACTAGACCGGTGTTCAGAAGCCTTCGGTCTGAAGTCTAACGAGTAAAATGGACCAGGCACGTATCCCTCGCAGGCCTCAAATTCTTTGGCGGTGGCAGTGGCCGTTAAAGGGTCAAGGAGTTACTGATAACCTGGGTCGTCATCTCTCACTCCCCTCTTCTTCCCTGCCAAGCCCACTCGCCTCCCTGAGGTGAAAGCTGCCCCAGTCCGCCCCTACCATGTAGTGCATGTTGGCAGCCGGGGGAGTGACCAGCCTGCGGAAGTGGTTGTGGTAGTGCTCGCACTGCTCTATGAAGGTGCGGTTGGTGATGCTCGGCAGGTTGGGCTTGACCTGCGGAGCGCTCCACACGCCCAGCAACGCCCACGGCCCCAGCACCGCCGCCAGCCACAGCCGCATGACGCCGCCGCCGCCCCGACTAACGGCCTCGCTCAACGAGCACGGGGGGGACGGGCAGCGACCGCCGCAGGGACTCAAACGGGCACCTCCCCAAAGTTCCAGGCAGGCGAGTGCGCAGTCCCAGCTCCCTCACCTGGCCCCACTTCCCCCTCCCCCCTCACCTCAGCCAATAGAGAGGCCGCGGGGCGGGGCCTATCCCTGCCCGCACTGCGCAGCCTCAAGCAGTGGCAGACCCAGGCGCCCAGACATGGCGCTATCCGTGCGGCAGCAGGCGCTGGTGTCGTTGGCGCTGGTGCTCTGCGCCTTCGTGGCGATGCCCCGGCTGCTCGGCGGGCGGGCGGGCCGCGGTGGCCCCTCTCAGCCGCGCCCAGGTACGGAGCTGCCGGGCAGGCGGCCTCGTCTGCCCCTGCGCCGAGCCCGGGGAGCGGCCTGGCGCGCGGGGCTGGGTCCTCAGCTGCGCCCCCCCCTCGCGGTGGGACGCGTCGCTGGGGCCTTGGGACGAGTGACCCGCGGCGGGAGGGAGGCTCACGGGAGCCGGTGGGCGCTGCCCGGAAGGCGAGTGGAGGAGGGGCGGGAGGGTGGCGCTGCGGTCCCTCCCGGCAGGGTCGGTCGGAGCAGAGCGGGGCGCAGGGGAGTGCGCGGGGGTGGGGAGTGGGGGTGCCAGCCTGCCAGGACTGCCATGGAGCTTCCAGGGCCTTGGTATGAATCTCTAGGAGACTGCTGAGACTCACTCTGGACATAAAGGATAGGGCTTCATTGAAATAAACGTTGAAGGTTGAATCTGGTTTTATACAGCAGTCTAGTGGGTTTTTAAAATGTAATAGTCATGTGCGTTTGCCTTCGTGACGCACAGTGTCTATGCACTGTAAACTGTAAATAATACACAGAAGCACGTGGGCACATTTGTGTTGTTGTTGGCACACTGGCATTCTGCAACCTCCCTAAATACGTTCAGACAGTTGGCAACCCTAGCCGGGAGGTGCTGGGCTGGCTCCTGGGCTCAGGCAGGCACTGGGTAGGAAATGGGCCTTGGGGCAAGGTGACTGTTGGAAGAGCTAGGTCCCCATTGCCAAACAAGCCCCAGGTGAGCAGGTGCCCCTGTCCCAAGTGCCCAGAATCAGAGCCGTGACAATTTGCTGCAGCATTATGTGCTGCCTTTTTCTCCACAGATGTCTATTTTGCTGATGGTGGGAGGTCTGGGGCTACTTGCACTGAGGACCCCCTCACCCCACTGGTGTTTGGGGTCCTGCTCCTGTGTGACAGCAGTTCAAGGCACCTGGTCCATGTGTGCAGGTGCAGAGTGGGGAGCCTCATGGGCTTCCTTGATCTGTGCTGGCAGACTCATGCCCCAGAAACTCCTCTGCAGGTACTGAGCAGGGAAGCTGGGTTGCAGGGGGAAGCTCTGGGGCATGCAGCTGCAAGCATGGAAGGGCCAGATCCTGAAGGGAGGGTTCTGGGGTGCATGTCTGCAGGCACAGAGTGGAGCCTGCATAGGAATGCCCTGGGAATACCCCTGCAGGCTCCCTGGTTTGTGCCTGGTATTGGGGCATAGTGCTCAGGGCTGCTGTCGGAGAGAATGACCTGGAGGGATGTGGGCAGTGGGGTCCCCCAGGGTTTGGTCTTCGGGCCGCCACTGTTCAACATCTTCATCAGCGACTTGGACGAGGGGGTGAAAAGCACCTTGTTCAAATTCACAGATGACACTAAGATGTGGGGAGATGTGGGCATGCTAGAAGGAAGGGGTGGACTGCAATTGGATCTGGACAGGTTACAGGGGTGGGCGGATGAGAACAAGATGGGATTCAATATTGACAAGTGCAAGGTATTGCACGTAGGGAGGAAGAACCAGCAGCATACCTACAGGCTGGGGAACTCCCTTCTTGTCAGCACAGAGGCAGAAAAGGATCTTGGAGTCATTATTGATTCCAAGATGAACATGGGCTGCCAATGTGGGGATGCAGTCAGGAAGGCTAAGTGCACCTTGTCATATATCCACAGTTGCATTACGAGCAGGTCCAAGGAGGTGATCCTTCCCCTCTATGCGACATTGTCAGGCCGCAGTTGGAGTACCACATCCAGTTCTGAGCACAGCGCTTCAGGAGGGATGTGGACAGCATTGAGAGGGTCCAGAGGAAGGCCACTTGCATGATCAGGGGGCATCAGGGCAGGCCCTACGAGGAAAGGCTATGAGACCTGAACCTGTTCAGCCTCCACAAGAGAAGGCTGAGAGGGGATCTGGTGGCCATCTATAAACAGGCCAAGGGAGACCAGTAGGCAATGGGAAAGTCCCTGTTCCTCTGAGCACTACTGGGAGTAACAAGGAATAATGGTCATAAGTTGACGCAGAGTAGATTCAAGCTAGATATCAGGAGGCACTACTTCACAGTCAGGGTGACTAGGATCTGGAACCAACTTCCAGGGGAAGTGGTGTTTGCTCCTGCCTTGGGGGTTTTTAAAAGGAGGCTAGGTAGACACCTTGCCGGGATTGTTTGACCCCAGCATTCTTTCCTGCCCATGGCAGGGGGTCGGACTTGATGACCTGCTCAGGTCCCTTCCAACTCTACCAACTATGAAGAATGAGGCCTGTGAAGCCCTAGGAGCAGCAGGGCTCAACACTTAAGGGTGCCGGGTCCGGGCAACATATGTAGACGTCACCGAAGTGGATCAGCTGTGCCAGAACATGTCCCAGCCCAGCTGATCCTGTTTCAAGGATAGCATCTGTGTATAGCCATTGGGTTGTAGGTTGTGAATGGGCATGAAGCTGGGTGGATATATGACAGCCAAGGATCTGGCTGGAAGTCTCTAAACACAAGTAGCCTACCACAGGGGCAGCTAATGAGAACAAGTTACTTTTCTGAGGCAGCCTTACAGTCATGGTTTATAAATACTTTCAGTAGAAGGCTGAGTATTGAAAGATGCTTAGTAAACAAAGTAGTTCTGATTTCCGGTGATTCATTAATGAATCTGGGGCAAGGCCATTATGTTTATATAGATAACTGACCACATGTGAGCAGTGATGCAATGTGTAAATCTTTATGTACAATTTAGCATTTTAGTACTGTTCCTGTTTATCATACAAATTAATTTATTTTATAAATAGCCTCTTTGTGGCAGGGATTGCCTCATTATGTTTTTATACTTCCTTTGCAGTGAGTCTCAGGTTTCTGTATGTTACTCTAATAAACAGGAAATAACCAAACAGTGACTTTATACATATTATCTGAAAGATAATGTAACTAATTGTTTCATTTTTGGAACTTAGATTCTGATGTAATCTGCATAGGTCTCATGGAAACTCTGTGGCTCCTGCTACTTTCATTTTATAGTAATTTTCCAAGTTGAGGTGGAAAAACTAGGGATTAAGATGGTCTCCTGGTGAATGCTTAGCCATTATCAGATAGTACTGGCCTATCAGCTTTCCTGCTCAGTGCCTGAAGGGGAATGTTAAACCACTATCAGATAGTACAAAGGTTATTTTCTTACAAAACAGAGAAAGAGTTTGTGATTATTTACAGTGGGAATACATGAGAGGAATGGGAACGTTAGAACTGCGTGACAAAATAAAAACTTGTGTCTTCAACACAAAATGATGGAGCAGAAGACCTGTGTCTCTTCTTCAAACAAAACTGTCTGTGCAGACAAGGTAGAGAAAGGGTGGCCCTGTGTATGCCTGTGAACAAAAATAAGAGCTTTTGATCAAGCTACCAGCTTTGAATTTCCTTTTAAAAATGCTAGAGTAACTTGAGTAACTGGTTGTCAGCTTTATTGTCAATATGGATTCTGCTATTTTTAATGCACTCACTCGAGAATAGATATTTTTGGCCAGCAATATTGACTGGGTGGTGAATGACCCCAAGGGTGTGAACATTTGAGTGCTCCTAGTTGTTTCACTGATACAAAGTCTTAAAGGAGTCATGGAAACCATATGACAATCAAAAACAGTAGTTAATGCAAGGTTCTTTCCTTTCTAATGACTATCCACATGGATCCCACTGTTGGAGACTGACAAGCATGTGTCTTTTTGGTTGCAGGAGAGTGCTTAAACAGTGATAGAAAGGCAGCTTTCCCAAAATGGGAATCTGATTTGGAGGCCTTCTCTGAAGACGGTGTCTAGTAAATGGAGGCATCACACTTTATATAGTTGCCTAACAGACTTTAGAAATAAAGATACGTGAATGGAAGCCATTGGGCTTTAGTAGAATGATCTCTAGTGTGATGCGGGGAAAATGGGCCCAAATTTGAGTTCAGCCTCAGAAAATGTTCATTGTTCAAATCAAAAACAAGTTTTGTTTTGTTTGCTTCTACAAGTTGTAGAATCACATTGATTTATCAGTTTTTGTTGCTAAAAATTCCAGAATCTTTTAAAATTGGTAAGGGTATTGAAGGACTTGCCATGGGGTGAACCTGCTGGCTTTGGCTTATTTTTATAAAATCCAGATTCAGAAAAAAACTTGTTATAGTCCTTGGCCCAGCTGGAAGATAAAACAAAACAAAAACACCTTTCTGTCAGAGGCCTGTAACAAATTTTCTTGATGCTGTTTTTACATTAAGAAACACCTGATTTGTAATGAACCTTGCTGATATTTGCCAAATCTAGGGTAATTTTGGTGAAAGAACTTTCTACTTTCGTTCATACTTTAAAGATTGTGTATGCAAGAGGATTGGTTCATGCTCATAATCCCAAACAGTTAGGTTTACTTTAATTATCCTGGCAATCACAAAGGCAGAGTAAATGGAAAATGAACCCTAGAAAAAAGTGTAGAGCATGTGAAAGAGAGGCAGTTCTTTCTCTCTCATGCCACCAAATCAGCCAAAAATAAATGTTCTTCCTTTGCTTAGGCAGGCCAGCCAGAAGAATAAGAGATGAGATTTGAATCATGGGTTTAGCCAGTCCAGTCAGCCTGTAGCCCCTTGAGACTGCATACATTAGAAGCTCTAGCTAAACCTGCATTGCCTGGTCCCAAATAACAATCACCATGTGTTGTAAGGATCCCCAAAAC